AGGCAACCCAGATATGTCAACGCATGTCCTTCGAATGGGTCACCAAGGTGTGTGTCATGGTGTAGAAATTGTGTGTGATCATAACAGACTGTTTCCAAAGGAAACATTGCCCATTCGAAGCTAGCGTGAAAAATGGTCAATGCTTTGTAGGCGCCATTGCCTTGTGAATGCTAGCCATGGGGAAGCTTTTGCCTTGTGCATATTGGCCTAAAGGGAATCCTGGCTTTTGTGAATCGAAGGAATCATGCAAAGGGGCAAATGGCTTCTGAATTGAAAGGAAGTTGCAGGAGGCCATTGCCTTGTGCCTGCTAGCCTGAAGAAGGTCATTTCCTTGTGAATTGGGAGCAAGCGTAAAGAAGGAACTTGTCTTCTAAATCGAAGGAAATGAGCAGGAGGCTTTTCCTCTTTGAATTGAAGGAGGCTAACATGAGGCTTTTCCTCTTTGAATCGAAGGAGGCTAACAAGAGGCTTTTTCCTTGTGTCTGCTGGCCTGGTGGGAGCCTCTTGCTTTGAAGCATGCAAGAAGGAAGTTGTTACTCAATCGAAGGCTGTATGCAGCTAGTCATTAATTTGTGAATCAAAGCAAGCATGGAGTGAATTATTTATCCAATCAACACAGGCATGCCGACATCAAATGTTCAGTCGAAGCAAGCATGCAAGTATCATTGCATTGTGAACCATGTAAGGCAAATGGTGCAGTCGAAGCTTGCATGCAGGAGGTCATTTCTTCTTGGATCAAATGAGACATAAAGGATGGATCGAAGGAGGCATGATAGAAGTCCTAGTCCAATCAAAACAGTCTTGAAAGAGACTAAAGTCCAAACGAAGCAAGGGGAATCGAAGAAGGCTTGGAGGAGACCCAAAATTCAATCGAAGCCTTATGAATCGAAGTAGACTTATTTTTTCTCTAATTTGGTCAAAAAGATTATTTTTATCTGCTTTGCCCCTTTTTAACAGTTTCCTCTTTAACTTGATGCTGGAAAATCCAATTGTACTTGTGCAAGCTTGAATTTTGGAGAATCCTTGTGAGAAATGCCTTGAGAAATGAGAGGGAAAATTTTGGGATACAACAGTCGTCTTTTAAATTTTCCGACCAAGGTGGTCGTTTGCTCTAACTTGCATCGCTCAAGTATTTTTAACTTTGCTTCATGCATGATTTGTTATTTATTGTGAAATGTTTGCATGTTTTGTATGCTCGTCCGCTTGAGACGATTTATTTTTATTAAGAGTTTTGGGGGTTTGCTCGTGAGTTTTTGAGTTTTCCAGTGTGGGGAATTAGTCAAACAGCCAGGGTAATTTCTGGGCGTGGGCCGGAACTCAGACCTCATTTTGAAAACCTGAGCTTGGCAGCGTAAATTTCCCAGCGTGAGCTGAGTGTTCTACCATCGTGGTACGACGATGGTGGAGCTCGTTTTACTTTTCCATGTCGGGATGAGAATTTACTCATTAAGAGAGTGGATATTCGCCTCTTTATTTAATTTGAAGTGTCATGCTTGTACCTAGGCATGCACGGGTGGTCGAGCAAGGTGTGTTCGTTGTTTCGATGAAGCATGTTGACTGCATCAGTGTTTTAACTGTAATATTGCCTTAGTTTTTCGGTGCTCCAAGGTCGATCAAGTTTTTCCTCCTGTAGGTTTTCCAGGTAGTAGGTCTCGTTCCCCGTTTTTGCATGAACGCGATAGGGGCCTTCCCAATTTTCAGCGAGCTTGCCTTCGTGAGACTCTTTGTGATTTCTCGTTAGGACTAGGCTGTCGACTTTCAATTCATGTCGTATGACTTTTGTGTCATATCGTATGGTAATTTTTTGTTTGAGGGAGTCTTCTCGTAATGCCACTCCCATTCAGATTTCCTCGATAAGGTCGAGCTCCTCTCTTAACGCTACATCGTTTATCTCTTCATCAAGGGGAGCTTCTGTCCGTCTAGAGAGCTCTCTAATCTCGACCGGTATGACAACCTTGGTTCAGTAAGCTAAACGAAAAGGGGTCTCCCTGGTGGATGAGTGAGTTGTCGTTCGATAGGCCCAAAGTACACTATGTAGCTCTTCGACCCATCTCTTTTTGGTGTCATCCAACCTTCACCTGAGGCCTCGTAGGATCACCCTGTTTGCAGACTCGACTTGCCCATTTGTATGCAGATGTTCGACAGAGATGAAGTGTTGGATGATGCCTAACTTGGTGACGAATTCCTGGAAGTTTTTATCCATGAATTGCGTCCCGTTATCGGTGACAATTGCTTGGGGAATGGAGAACCGAGCAAGAATGTTTCTTTTGTAGAAACACATAATGTTTTGCACGCTTATTCTGGCTAGCACTTTTGCTTCTATCCATTTGGTGAAGTAATCCACAATTACTATCATGTATTTATTTTGGTTTGATCCTACCACGACTGGTCTGAGGATATCCAAGCCCCACAACATGAACGACCAGGGGGATGATAGAGACTTGAGCTCGCTTGGAGGCTTCAAGTGCATGTCCATGTGGCGTTGACATTTTTCACACTTTTTTACGTGCTCTTTGGCGTCGTGTTGCATGGAAGGCCAGTAGTACCCTACCCGTAATGCTTTTTTGGACAGAGATATTCCACCCAGGTGCTAGCCGTTGATTCCTTCGTGGATTTCTCGTAGGATATGGGCTACTTTGTTCTCTTTGACACATTTGAGGAGGAGGGTGGAGAATCCTCTTCTATACAGTTTGTCTTTGACCAAGACGTAGGAACAGGCTCTTCATCTAACCATATTGGCCTCCTTTTGGTCAGATGGTAATTGTTTGTGAGGTAGTTGTATATCGGGGTCATACAACATCTGATGTCATCAATGGCATACACTTCTAGAGCTGAGAAGGGTTTTTCGATGCTTGGTTGAGGGATTATTTCCTGTATTACGTATTTGTTCCCTCCTTTCTTCTTTGTGCTGAAAAATTTTGACAGCATATTTACTCGAGAATTGTGTTCGCGTGGAACATGTTGTACGTCCGTAGAGTTAAATTTCTTCATTCTTTCTTGGATCAGAGTTCAATAATCTGAAATTTGATCATTTTTGACCTAGTATTCTCCTTGTACTTGGGAGGCGACGATCTGGGAGTTCGTGAAGATCTTTACTTCTTTGGCGCCTAGGTCTTCGAACAGGTGGAGTCCAGTGAGGAGAGCCTCATATTCTGCTTTGTTGTTCGAGGTTGGGAAGGATAGCATGAGGGAGACTTTGTTTAGTATTACTTCCTCGTTTTCCGGCATGATGTCTGCCCCGTTTCCCATCGAGCTGGAAGCTCCGTCCACGAAGATGGTCCACTTGTGTGCCCTATTTGTGGTGCTCGGGAAGGTCATTTCCGCCACGAAATCGGCCAACACTTATGCTCTAAGGGCTTTTCTGCTCTCATATCTGATGTCAAACTTGGAGATCTCTAATGACTACTTGAGCATTCTGCCCACCATATCAGGTTGATCGCGTAACTATTTTATTGGTTGCTCTGCCTGGACGACAATTGTGTGGGTTAGAAAATATCGGTCTTCTCGTAGTGTTGATGAGTGCTAAGGCTACTTTCTAAATCTGTTGGTATCTTACTTCAGGGCCTTATAAGGCTTTGCTCATGAAGTAGATGGGTCTTTTCTCCTCAGGGATTTCCCGAATGAGGACAGCGCTGACCGCGCTGGAAGCTACAGCTAGATAGAGGTAGATATTTTCTTCCTTGTCCAATCTTGAAAGGACCGATGGTTGAGATAATGCACGTTTGAGATGGAGGAGGGCGTGCTTGCACTCTCCAATCCATTTGAACACGGCTTCTTTGCGGAAAAGTTTGAAAAAGGGGAACACGTGTTGGGCAAATTTTGCCACGAATCGGGACAATGATGTGAGTATTATGTTTAGAGTTTGGATTGATTTTTTCGAACCCGGGGTTGGAAGCTCAAAGAATGCTCAACATTTGTTGAGGTTGGCTTTGGTTCCTCATTCTGTTAAGTAGAAGCTGAGGAACTTGCTCGGCCACACACCAAAGGTGCACTTTTCTAGGTTGAACTGCATTTTGACTCTTCTTGTTTGGTCGGAGACCTTTTTGAGGTAGAGCGCATGATCAGTTTCTTCTTGGGATTTCACGATCATGTCGTTCATGTAGAATTCGAACATGTCTCTGATTTCTCCTCGGAAGACCTTGTTCATCATACGTTGATAGGTAACGCCTGTGTTCTTCAGACTGAAAGGCACTACGTTGTAGTAAAAAAATTCAAGAAAAAAATTAAAGTCTTTATTTAATTCATTTAAATTTATATTTTTCATCATTATCTCAAAAAAATCATAATATATATATATATATATATATATATATATATATATATATATATATATATATATATATATATATATATATATATATATATATTATTTTTGTTTTCATTCATATTAATTCATGAAAAATCTCAAAAAAAAAATATTTTTATCATTTGCATTTTAATTCGGTTTGGGTCAAAGTTTTTAAAATTAAAATTAATCTTACTAGTAATCCATAATTTCTAATTATTAAATTATTTAGTAATTTTAATTTAATAATTCAATTAGCTTTAATATTTTGTATTGATCTAAAATTTTAAATTGTAACAATATTTAATTTTAATTGAATCTCTAACAAAGGTTCAATTTAAGATTTAATTTCGTCTTTTAAAAATATTATCTTTTTGTTTCAATAGTTGATTTGATTTGATTTTTTATTTTAATTCAAATTGAAAATATTTTTTTTTGAATTATTATTAAAAGTTAAAATTATTTTAAATCTTTTTCATTTAATTTAAATTTTATTTCTTGGCACTTTATTTTAGTTTATTTTTATTCCTAATCATTTTCTTTTTCTCATTGTTATTATTATTACATATTACTAATTTTTTTTATTATTGTTATTATTATTATTTTGTTAATTGTTAATTGTTGCTAACCATATTATTGTTAGTATTTTTGTTTTTCTTATTATTATGTCAAAATAGAAGAATAGAAGATATTTTAAGCTGGGACCAGCAACTGAATGTCACCGGTTTATACACAATTTCCACCTTCCAATCAATCCACTTTCAATCTCTACCTTCCATTCAAAATTATCAACAGTCCAAAAACATTCTCAACAGTTGGCACAGATGAATGCCTAAACTCCCTCTCAAACTTTAGATTTCGCCAAAACCAAGTTAATCCAAATCTCAAAATTTCCTCACTTTCACTCGCAAATTCCCTCTCAAAACCTCACCACTATTTCACAAATCTGCTATATGAATATAGCCTTCAACGGTGCCTTTAACTTCAACAGTCTGCACGCCCTTCTCCATATTACAACACTGTTTCATACCTTCAATTTCTGAAGCAGATCAACCCGATATTCTTCAACACCAACTCGCTGCAGCCTTCAACAATATAACTCAGCATCAACTCATTGGGTAATCTTTCAAACCGAATTTTCTTTTGTGCTTACTGTGGATATGTTGTATGTGTGCGTTCAGATTCGACGATGTCGATATTGTTGTTTTGTGTGCCAAAAACTTATGTTAGTTTGAATCGATGATGTTTAATAGAGTTTGGCATCGATGACGTTGTTTGTTATGATAAATAATGTTGCAATTTCGATTGTTGTTGTGTTAAGTTGAAATTAATTATGATAGCATTGGTTTTAGACTGGAATAATGTTTTGTTTTGAAGCATGATTTTTGTTAGTAAGTTTGTGAGTTCCTAATGTGAATTTGATTGAGTTTTACAATTGTGAAGTTGGTGTTTGATTCTTGTTTGTAAGTTGGAATGTTAGAATTGAATGATGAAGCTTTGAGATAGTTGTCGAAGTGGGCATCGGATTTGCGGTTTTTATTTATCTCAATTTGTTGACGAAATGGTGTGTTTGTCTTATCTTGAGTTAATTTGAAAGAGATTTCGGGTGACATTGTGGTTCATTTGAGTTCAAAGTCGAAGGATTAATTTGATTATGGTGACATTGTGAATTTCATTTGTATTGAACACTTGTTTGAGATGATTTTATTGAGCGTAATTAGATTTAGAAAGTTGTTGCCCGGATTCTAATTTCATTGATTTAAGCGTGGTTGGAATTGGTTTTTTGTGTTTTGAAGGGGAATTAAGTCATAGTTTGAATTGATGCTATTTAAGTTTGATTTTAAGGACATTGTTGAGCATCGATATTGACTATGAATTAAGTTTGATTGAGAGATCTTTTAGATTTGGTTGAGTTTATTTTCTTTTGTCTTAAACTTGTTTGAAATAAATTTTTGAGCGTAAATTTATGCTTATGTGGTGGCTGTCCAGATTTGATTTGTTTGATCTTAGTTTGTTTCGAAATCAACTTTCTATGTTTTGAATATTGGATTGAATAATAGCATGATGTTTCTTTGGTTTTAGTTCGTTTGTGAATTGAAATACTTAAATAATCGAGTGTTTGGTTCTTGAATTGTTCATGTGTATTCATGCAAGTTTCATTTAGATTTTATATCTTGTGATTACTAACTTGTGTGTTGATTTGTGCAAGTTTCTCAATTTATCAAGACAATACTTCCTCTTTTCACTTCTTATCCGCTTTTAATTGATTAACCAAACGTTGATTTATTTACTTGATTTTGTTACTAAAAATGGATTAGTTTACTAATTCGTTTTTCTTAACTCGATTAATTAAGTTAATTAACTCTTGATTAATCGACTAAACTTTCATTTCATGTTACTTTGTTGCTTTTAGTTAATTAACTAAAAGTCGATGTTGTTATTTAATTTCGTTATTAAAAATTAATTAGTTTCGGCTAATTAATTTTTCTTAACTTAATTAATTAACTTAATCTACTTTTAAGTTAATTAATTAAACATCTATTTCTATATTTTATTTGTTTCATTTTAGCTTTGATACAGGTTACTAGTCCACTCGGAATTGATTCTTACTTCACATGAGATTTCAGTTTACTTCTCTCCTATCCTGACTTTGTCTGTTTGTTGGGAATTTTATCTGATGCAGGGATTCATATTCAATAGTTAGTTCCTATCCAATGCATCGAGCTTTACACGACACTTTGAGTTTTATCCGATACCTTGAGCTTACCTGATGCACTTTCCTGACTTGTGATTTATTTTCATCTGATGCACTTTATCCGATGCTTTGAGTATCATCTGACATTTGGGTTTCTTTGATGTTGTATGCTTGTGATTTATTTTCACATGAGGTTTGGAATACTCTTGGCTTATTTATCTGTCTGTGGCTGAAAATCCAAAGGGATGGGAACACTATATTGATTTCTATATATCAAGTATGAGATTCGGATTGGTTAGATCCTCCTTACCTTATATTTTACTCTCCTGTACATAGGATACTCTTTCCATTTCCTTATCATTCTTTAATTTTCAAAATCTTTTTATCTATTTTCAAAACTTTCTTGTTTATAAACTTGAACCGCTTTCATAATAAACCTCGACTTTGTTGAGTGACTTTTTCTTTATCAAACTCATAAAAACTCTAACGTTACTTAAACTCTTTCGCAATTAAGCGGAGAAGTAGTAAGTCTCCCTTCCTTGGGGTCCATTTGCTATTTATCCCAACAAAAACACTTCAACCTCATTCAAACTTTTTATGCGCTCGAGCACCTTTTACCCTTTAAAACCTTTTTTTTCCAAGATTAGACATGATTCATTTATAATCGAGATGTTTTTCATCTATCCTCATGGTTGTCGAATTCTTCACTTGAGTAATAGAGGTGTTCTCAAATCCTCCCTCATGTTGGTGCGTAGTCCTTCTTTCTTTATCATACCTTATGGGCGATTAGACGAGTCTTCTTATTAAAAATAACGACTTGTCTCTTCATTTAAAATCAACCAATAGACAAGTATTTTCTAGTCGAACTACGGTGCTCTGACTTTCCCATTACATGGGGGAGTACGTATGAACTAAGTCTCACGACCCAAGGCGAGCAAAAATAATAAAAAAAACATTTTATTTTGTTTGTAAATATTGTTTCATTCATTCACTCTATTTAGCAAGTAAGACTTTAGATAACACACCTTTAAAAAGAAAACAAACAAAGTGGATCCTACGGAGCACCGTAGATGCTTAGTGTGATAATATATTTCCTCTGCATAACTGACTCCCGTACCTTGACCTCTGATCTTTTATTTCATTTTAGGTTTTGTTTGTTTTTTTTTTTCATTTCTCTTTGGAACAATAAAATGCAGTGGTGACCTCACTGTATGAGTTAAGTCAATTGATGGCTTAATCTCAAATCTTTAGTTCTACATCTTTTCACATTTTACACAATGTGACAGTCTAGGCCAATCATATCTACTGCGCTCCAGGCGAACAAGTCTGCATTCTCCTTTAAGCACGCCTTCAGCTGCCTCTTCGCTAAGTCGGGGAGGTCAGCGCCGATCTTGACTCCTTTGGAGGGGTCGTTGCCCAGGGGAACGATCTTGAATTCTCCATATGGAATTGGACACATAGGATCTGTAGATTTGCCCATGCTCGTTGATCGACCTTCTGCGTTGAGCATGGATTCTTTCCCTTTCTTCTTTTGGTCTCTAAAGTCCTCTTTTGTAAAGCGATTGTCTAGGTCGAATGTGTCAACATTGGTCAGCGGCTTTGGTTCTTAAGAGTTGTCGGGGAGAGCGAGTCTGTTAGTCGTTATAGGTTGAGTACTGAGGGAGCTCAAGCCTTTTGCAGCTGCTTCAAAACATATCCTAGCGGCCTGAGTGTCCCTGTGCAGGGTGGCGACGAGGCTGTCAATGGTGTAGTATTTCATTTTGAGGTGCATTGTGGATGGCACTGCTATTAGTTCGGCCAAGGCGGGCCTCCCAAATATGCATTGATATAATGACAAGCAGTCTATTACGAGGAACTGGGTCTTGATGGATCTGGCTTTCACTCCTGCCCCAAAAGTAACGATCAATTTGACATATCCCCAAGGTTTGGTGGCAGAACTATTGAATTCTTGGAGATCAGAGCCCATGTACGGGGTCATATGTGCATCATTCAACTGCAATGTGGTAAACAGTTGGGAATATATTATATCGACCGAGCTTCCTTGATCAACCAGGATGCGCCTGACATCGAAGTTTGCTATGTGAGCTCGTACGAGCAACGAGATGCTGGAATTAAAGGATCCTCCAGGCAAATCTTCCTGATAGAACGTGAGGGGGTGAGAGCCTCCCCTGAACTTGTCGAGGGTGACACTCATGTCAGCGTTAGCCTCCTATAACAACTCAAATCTTCTCTGCATCGAGCCTATGGTGCTCTTGTTAAAGCCACAACCTAAAATAACCATTGCTGCTAGGAACAACTCCCACAGACTGTGCGACGAGAAGTATAGGAGGATCTCCTCCATGTCGGGGAAATAAAAATCTTCTGGCCTCATGATGCTCATGGTGATGGGCATGAGAGCTTTGTTTGGGGAGGCCCTGGTTTCTTTGACCTGTTTGGATTCAGAAACATCTTCTCGTGGAGATTTCTTCTTTCTGTATGGTTTAAGATGCCCGTCTTAGATGAGGATCTCAATGGCATTCTTGAGGTGGATGTAGTCTTCCATCGTATGCCCGTGACTTTTATAAAACTGACAGTACTTGTTTTTGTCCGTCCCTGGCTTGGATGATGTTTGTTGGGGGAAGCGAATCTTAGCTTGCTTGAATTCTGCGTTTAAATGGTCAGAATCTTCTCGCGTGAGGCGTTGAGAGGAGTATAGTCATGGAAACGACCGGGAGGCCCCTTGTAGTCTCGAGACTCTCGGGACTTGTCCTCCTTTTTCTTTTCTCCTCCTTGACAGGATATCGAGGGATCTTTATTCTTTGAGGCCTTTGCGTTCTCTCTATGTCACGAGTCCTGCGCGTTGTTGGCTGCCTCTTTTTTCTCGTACTGGATGTACGCATGTGCTTTGAGCAGGAGAGCATCCAGAGTGGTCGGTGATTCGACGCCAACTTCTTTGGCAAAGTCACTGCGGGGATGGAGTCAGCGTTCGAGGAGATACTTTTTCATGCCGTAAGTCGTGGAGACTTGTGCAGCCTCCTGGTTGAAACGTTCAATATATGCCAGAATGGACTCATCCCTCCCTTGGATGATCGCCTCCAGAGATGCTTCTGACTTTGGATGTCGGTGAGGCGTCGTAAAGTTCCTGGAAAATTGTCTTCCCAAGTTCTTCTATGACGTGATGGATTCGTCGAGAAGGCTCTTGTACCACACCATGACCCCTTTCCTGAGAGTTATAGGAAAGAGTTGGCATTTGATCGCTCAGTGAACTCCTCTGTAGTCGAGCAACACATCGATGTTTTCGATGTGCTCGTCAGGGTCGGTTGTTCTGTTGTAGGTTTCCGAATGGGGAAGTTTCTCCAGACTGACAGGGAGTGTGGTCTCCATGATTTCTCTTGATAACAGATTGCGGCGTTCGTCATTATCGCTTCTCTCAGGAGATGGTGATGGAGAATGGTGATCCCTCCCTCATCGGGGAGAGGTGCTCCTTCTCGGCTTGGGTGACGACGAGTGGTCGCGGTCAAGCCGGTTGATCTTTGTCTTCTTGGAGATCAGGGAGCGTCGATCTTTACGGGGAGGTGTGCGCACTACGCCAAATAAGACTTTAGACAATGCTTTTTTTTGACTTTAGACAGCGCTTTAAAGCGTTGTCTATTCCAGCGCTGCTGTAGGTAACGACAACGCTTTGTTAAAAGTAAAAGTGCTGCTAAATCCCTCCTTTAGGCAGCCCTTTTACTTTGGAAGCGCTGCTAAAGACCCTCTTTAGCCAACGCTTTTACTTTTAAAGCGCTGCTAAAGGCCCCCTTTAGCCAACGATTTTTCTGAAACAAAAAAAAAATAAAAATAAAAATCCCCTTTAGGCAGCGCTTTTAATGTTAAAGAGCTGTCTAAAGCCCCCTTTAGGCAGCGCTTTTTCTGAAACAATTTTTTTATTTAAAAAAAGAGCCCCTTTAGGAAGCGCTTTTATAGTAAAAACGTTGTCTAAAGGGGGATTTAGACAACATTTTTTAAAGCGCTGTCTAATGTCCACAGAATTTTTTATGTAACCTTTTTGAAAAAAAAGCGCTGTTTGATATATACAATTTTATATGCACAGATTTTAACCATATTTGCACCAGGTTTTCACCATATTTTGCACCTGTATATACCATTACAAATTTCACCAGATTTTCACTAATATTGGAGTTTCAATCCAATAAAAAATAATACCAAAAGATACTATACATTTGCACCAATGTACTTATATATACTATTACTCTTGTACATATATAATTTTACAAAAAAACAACACCAAAACAACACCATTATATACCATTACAAAATTTATTCATCTCTATCTTCTACATATGCACATATAACCTGAAACAACACCAAAATATCATAATTCATACATGATACAAACAAAAAATATATATAATTTACCACATGACAAACAAAAACAAAATTTCAACACTTGAATATACTCAAAATTCTCATCAATTAAAGCAAGATTACAATATACCTTATATAATTTTCGTCTCAATAATGTATTGACACAAATCCTCCTTAAGTTCATCCAACTGAGAACTTAAGTAATAAGCACACTTGAATTCATCAAAGTACTACATAATAATATAACATAGTATGTTTAAGTTAAAACTATTTAATTATATGAGAAATATGTGTTAAATATTAAAATAACTCCTAAGTTATAAATCTATACCTTAGATGGAATCTCTATTCGATCCAAAAGAATGATTTCTCTCATAAACCTCAACATGTAAAAATCGCAATCTACTTCATTACGTTGCCGGGGACACTATACATGAAAAGAAAATATGGATAAGACCTAAGTTTTATCAAGTATCATCACTATTAATATAATTAAAATTGTGATAATTAATTAATATACCTCCACTATAATCCATGTAATGTTGTTGGCTTTACTCTTTGGTACTTGAATACCTCTTTGTGCTGGAAAAACTTGTATAATGCTAATAAAACATAAACGCATATTTAAAACAATTCACATAAATAAATAAATAAATAAATAAATATACACATGAATATTTAGAACAATATCACTTACGTATCAACCATATTCTTCATATCTTGGTATGT